AGCATTAAAAACACAAAGCAAACATAAAACTCACACTACAGTGCTTGACAAGAAACATTACAACAATAATAGCTATTATTAATGTTCTTAAAAAAAATCCAACTCAACAAAAAAAGGTGAAAGCTAAGAAAAATAAAATGCATACCAGTAAACAATGACTAAAATGTATTTCTTTCTTCACAATATATGAGAAAAACATATATTTAATAACAGAATTTTAAAACCAAAAAAAATTAATTGGCATAAATAACAATCAAAAAAGTATTAAGTTAATATAAATAACATAGTTTTACAAATACCAGTGAATACGATTCTTAGAAGCAGAACAAATATCAAAATACACTAGTCACCAGGCAACCACTGCTAAAGAAATATTCAAACATGGTGAGTGACAATTCAAACACTATAAATTAGCAAATTAAACATGCTTTTTAACATCATAAGCTACACTACAATAATGGTTCTTTATATTATATGTGGAAGAATTTTTAACATCTAAGAAATATCATTCAACAATAATGTTGCACTTTTGGGAACCTGTCTTCTATAGCCATAATTTTATGCTGGTTTACCTAAATACTTATTAAAAGCAAAAACAAAACAAATATTTAAAAAATCTATAGAAAAAATATCTATTAAAAGGGTAAAAAGAACTGACTTCAACTTCTCCAAATCTAGAAGAAACCATGATTTTTAAATATAGCCCACTTTAAATAGTCCACTAGAACTAATTACTACCTTCAATATATTCCTTGATATGGTCAGTAATACAAAGAGATGAACAGTAACTACTAACTGAAAGGTTTAATCCTCCCACTTCTACAACCCATATACTGGTTGTGGGGTTCTGTCTTCCCTTTTTGTACTATCTAGTGAACACACTCTGTAAGTTTCCTTTAATTCTTTTAATTAAGAATTCAATATATCATTTTCATTAAAAATACACCAGAAGCCATAACACTAAAAAGCACCAGTAGAGTAAAATTCTATAGGATTTTAGTAATAAAACTATTTCCTTTTGCCTATCTGGCCCTTAAGCTTCTCTTTTATCTTCTACCTTATGTCACTTCTGTCAGAAAACTCTACCAAATACATATTCAAACTACTGGCCCAACAAAATAGGGTCTTTGGGTGTGGGAAGAAGGAAAAAGAAACTGGCCACACTCTCATCATACTTACCAACACTCTCATCATATCAAATTCAAAGAAAATGTTGTTTAACAGTGTATTGCTACCAAAAAAACCCACAATAGCCAATTCTGTGAGCTAAGAATGTTGCTACAACTGAAATTGGAACTTTCATTTAAGTAAAACAACAACCAAAAAAGGCTACTTCAGGGAGTTTTATGAGGATATGACTATATAATACCACTGGTGATATCAGACACAGCATTTTAAATTGAGTATGGATAGAAAAAAATGGATAATACCACTGGTGATATCAGACACAGCATTTTAAATGAGTACAGATAGAAAAAAATGGATATGAATAGAAATATAATTTACATATGCATAAAATGTGACAAAGTACAATAAGATCAGTAATCTAAAGTTTAAACTTTAAACATTTTGGTCAATGTTCTCCTCTCTTTGAAATGTTCATTCCATGGTATTAATTCACCATTAAAATGATAAAAATACAGCTACCATAACAATGGCTATAACATTTATTCAATGCTTACTGTGTCCTAGGCACTGTTCTAAACATGTTATATGTATTTAATCATCTAATTGTCATAAATAACTGTTCATTTACAATTCCCCACTTTACAGATGAGAAAAATATGGCATTGAGAAGCTAAGCACAAACATAATTAAGATATGACCTCAGTAATTATCTCTTCATTCTCAGTTTCTTTATATGAAAAATGAATTCCTTCCTCCCAGCTCTACATTTAGAAGTTACTATGAATGCTACCAAAATTAATATTTTGCTATAAAAAACATATTTTTCCCACTATGGCATTTCTTCTCCTGAAAGGATCCTCCATTAAATCAGAGGTCAACACTGTTTTTTAAATAACCCTAAGTGGTAACACATCAAGTTATAGAGACTGATTAGCAGCACAGAAGGCCAAATTATAAAGTGAGCCAAATCTGACTTAACCACCTCCCCACTTTTCTAGAACCTCTCTCTCAACTGGTCATAAAGGCTATATTTATGTACTTTGAAAAAGCTTATTTGACCCTAAAGAACTTGACAATTGCTAAAAGACATATGGTAGTTTTTAAATATCCAAAAATTCTTTAATATTCCTCCCTTCAAGTGGCGAAACTTAATTAATTCCCCCTTTGAAGTGTGGGCTGGACTTAGTGATACAGTTCTAAAAAAACATGACAGAAGCAATGGTGTGTAAGTCAAAAATGGCACGACATCTTCCTCTTTGCTCTCTTGGATCATCTATTCCAGGGGAAATCAGCTGCCTTGTTAGGACACTTAAAAGGCCTGGAGAGGTTCACATGCTGAGGATTTGAGGCCTCCAGCCAATAGCCATGTGAGTGAACCATCACGGAAGCAAATCCTTTAGCCACAGTTGAGACAACTGAAGTCCCAGCCAAGATTTTGGCTGCAACCTCCTGAGAGACCCTAAGACCAGAGGGAACCAGTTTTTAGGCATGCTCAAATCCAGACCCACAGAGACTGAGATACTAAATATTTTAGACCACTAGATTCAGGTATAATTTGTTACTCGGCAATAGATAACTAATACAAAATATGATAAAACTAATTTTGCAAGATAACTGCAAGTTGTCTCTACCCTAATGGTTCATACTTGTCATGTTAAGCTAAACTACTGCACTCTACTCTCCTCCAACTTACCAAAAGCTGAGGAATCAATAATAACACACCAAGAAGATTACCAATTATATGAATGAACCATTTCCTCTCTCTACTCTAACTGGAAGTCTTCTGAATGGACTCTGGAGCAACCTCTACCCTGCCTCCTATAAAAGAAGATCTGTGTCTATAACCATCACCTTACCTCCTATCTTAGTAGAAGTCTATCTAAAGTTCTCTTGACCTGAATCCTAATATTCCATCCCTTCCAGCTTAGTCGGTGATTAATTATTTTCCCTCATTCTTCTGTCCTCAAATTTTATTTCTGATGGTTTTTTTATCCTCAGCAAATAAAGATTTAAGTCATATTATCTATACCTCTAGAAAACAAAAAACTCTCTCTCAAACTCCTATCTCTAGCTATCCTCTCTCTATTCCACTTGAAACCAAACTTTCTGAAAGAGTAAATGACATCAGCTATTTCAATTTTCTTATCTCTTACCCAGTGTGAACTGGCTCCACATATATAATTGTTCTTGCTCCGGTCAACAACTTCTTGACATGTTCAATGGATACTTTTCCTGTCTTCATTTTATTTAATGTCTCAAAGATACTTAATTGTTCCCTTTCTCCAAACTCAGTACTCCCACTAACTTCTGTAATTCTCCTGCTTCCTTATCTACTTATTCATCTTTTTTTTTTTCATTCATCTCCTTTGAGGTGTGTTTTCCTTCCATCTGATTTATTAGTGTTCCCCATCCTCCTTTCTCTTCTTTTACTTTACATTATTTTTTTCCTGAGTAATCTCACCCAGTCCCATTGCTTTTAACCAACACCTATAATACAAAACTAAATTTTATGTTTCCAGTTGGATATTCTTAACTAAGATCCATATATACAACTTCCCAATGACATTTCTTGGAAGTCACAGATGCCTCATAACTATAGCCCCAAACTGGTCTTCTCCAACCAGGTTTCCAAATCTATTGTTCTTCCTATACTGCCATAGTAATTGGCCCCACTCGGTTTCCCAAGCCAGATATCATAAAATTCAGTTATCTTTCAAATATTTATTGAACATTAATTATGTGCTTGAACATGACAGTAACTAGAAATTATCCTGACTCTACTCTCCCTCAAGCCTACCAAGTTCTACCCAGTACATGTCCTTTGCCTCTCTCTAATCCATCTCCATCCTTAATTCCAATTTGCATCACTATACTTCTGGTTCTCATTTGCCACCTGGATTATTACAATAACCTCTAAATGATCACCAACCACTCTGCCAAGTTCATCATTCTCTCAATTCATCCCCAGACTGTTGCTTGACCATGTCACTTCTATATGTTATTTACAAATTGCCTGCAATTTTCTCAAATGAAAGAGTTAATTTTCTTAATCTTTCATGAAATTTTTCTAATTCTATCACTATCTTTAACATGAAAAGAGTATGGTAAAATGAAGACTATAAGAATCCTATTTTCCCACAGTACCTTAAAGCACCTTCATTTATGAACTAAAGTTATGAAAGATTTATTATAAATACAAATATTTATCATATGGGTAGTGTTTTCCAAGTCTTTTACATAAACCAAAAATATCTTTGCATCTGCAACTCAAAAAAAAATGTATGGTATTTCACAAAAATATTACCTTGAAAAAATACTCTAGACTTTCCAGGGCCATGATGACTACTACTCTAATACTTAAAAAAACTGAAATAGTGCCTGAAATAAGGTATATGATACTCAATAAATATTAGCGAAATGAATTATTTCTTCATCATGTTTAACCATGTCTTCTATGATTTTCCATAGAACTGATAATAAAAAATATACTTGAGTTCAATCATACCCAGTTTTCTGTAAAGAACAAACCAAACTAATTTTCTTCACTTCCTTGAAAACTCTTTATTTATATGGACAGATAAATGAACAAGCAAAAGAGGAGGAAAAAATGTTGATACCTGATCAAGAATCAAGCCAAAGTTTCCCTTGGCTTTCTCCTGCCAATACACAAACTATGAACTTGAGTTGTCAGTCAGATATCAACAATTCAAAAGTCATATAAAAGAAATGGCAGGTCATATTATACACCCCCCACAACCTCTACTCCTTGACCAATTAAGCAGATTAAAACACAACTGAAGCAGAAAAAGATTTCCTTTATCTCAGCTTTAAATGGAAATCAGATTTTTTTTAAATTTAGCCAAAATATTTACCCAGATTTTTTTCAGAGTCTGTAATGTTGTTTTTCTTCTTCCTTATCTTCAGAAGGTCTACCTGCAGTGTTTCATCTTAACCTGAAAAGAACAACATTTTATCCAATTATACAAGATAGTCTCGCTTAACCACATTTCACCATTTCAGATTACTGGGTTACATGTGTATGAACGCACACACATGTAAAGTTTTTAATATTACTCTAACATTGCATTTCCTTCTTTAAAATTTCCAAACAAGAAATACTTCTAAATCTAGAATAAGACCACAGTTTCCAAACTACAGCATTCTAAATGTTTCAAAAACCACTATATCCATGGAAAGAGCATGACTGGATAGTCAGAGAGTTGTAGAGGTCAAATCCTACCTTTAAAACATACTCAAGGGGCACCTGGGTGGCTCAGTCCATTAAGCATCAGACTCCGGGCAGCCCGGTGGCTCAGCTGTTTAGCGCAGCCTTCAGCCCAGGGTGTGATTCTGGAGTCCCGGGATCGAGTGGAGGAGCCTGCTTCTCCCTCTGCTTCTCTCTCTCCCCACTCTCTAATAAATAAAATTAAAAAAAAAAAAAAAAGCATCTCTGTTTGGGATCAGGTCATGATCTCATTATCATGAGATCAGGACCCCTGTCAGACTCTGCACTCAGAATCTGCTTGAGATTTTCTCTCTTCCTCTGCCCCACACCCTGGGCGGGCTCCCTTGTGTGCTCTCAATCAATCAACAAACAAATAAATAAATCTGTAATATATATATATATATATATATATACACACACACACACACACACACACACACACACATATACACACACACACACACACTCGGGGATCGGGGATCCCTGGGTAGCTCAGTGATTTAGCACCTGTCTTCAGCCCAGGGCATGATCCTGGAGTCCCGGGATCCAGTCCCACATCGGGCTCCCTGCAAGGAGCCTGCTTCTCCCTCTGCCTGTATCTCTGCTTCTCTCTGTCTCTCTGTATCTCTCATAAATAAATAAATAAAATCTTTTAAAAAAATACTCAAACTGTGACCTCAGAAAAGTTGTTCTCTCAGACTGTTGGGTCTTTGCTGGCAAGAATCATGTCTCAGGGGGGATCCCTGGGTGGCTCAGCGGTTTAGCGCCTGCCTTTGGCCCAGGGCGCAATCCTGAAGTCCCGGAATCGAGTCCCGGGATCGAGTTCCGCGTCGGGCTCCCTGCATGAGCCTGCTTCTCCCTCCTCCTGTGTCTCTGCCTCCCTCTCTCTCTCTCTCTATCATAAATAAATAAATCTTTAAAAAAAAAATCATGTCTCAGTTTCCTTCCTATTCCAAGCACATAGCACACTTTTCATCAAATGGAATCACCTCGCAAACTCTTAAGATACTTGGGAGATGATAAGGCATACTGATTAAGGGACTGTAAACTGGAGTCCGATTATCTGGTTTAAATCACATCTCCTGACTTTCAACAAGTTGATTTTTAGGGCTGTATCTTTATGAAATGATAATAAAAGACCTTATATGATAGGATTGTTATGATGATTAAATGAGATAACATGCCTATGAAATATGTACCACTCAACAATTCTGTTTAAGATAAATATTCTGGTTAATTCACCTAATTTTATATTTAATGTTTATGGTTAACTTAGAATAAATCCGCTTCAATGCCATGCAAAGAGTGAAAGCAGCAACATGAAACCAGTTGAAACTTACACGCTTGGACAATTAAAAGGCTATTTCCTTAGGGCGGAAATTTACCAGAACTCTTTCCATTTAACAAGCGTCCCGGGATCCCTGGGTAGCTCAGCGGTTTAGCGCCTGCCTTCGGCCCAGGGCGTGATCCTGGAGTCCCGGGATCAAGTCCCCCATCAGGCTCCCTGCATGGAGCCTGCTTCTCCCTCTGCCTGTGTCTCTGCCTCTTTCTCCCCCTATGTCTATCATGAATAAATAAATAAAATCTTAAAAAAAAAAAGAAAGAAAAACAAGCGTCCCTAACTTTCCAATGTCAAAACTAAGGCCAATGGGATGGGGAGTTAGGTGTGGGAGAGTGGGTGGGAGCCAAAACTCTGCAGACGGAAAACCAACTTCCCTTCACCTTCCTCTGACCAAAAGATAATGTTTCCGATGAAATGTGCTCTTCCATAGCGCAGACTCGGCCAGCACCAATTCGGAATACAAAACACTCCCCGCCTGGATTGGAAAGGGGGTTCAAAGGCTTCACCGCCCTCGGTCAATAGACCCTACGTTATCGGGGGCGCGGCAGCTCAGAGCTGCGGGCAAGGCTAAGCCAGAGCCTGCAGGTGCACGGTCCTTCCCGCCCGCCGAGTCCACGCACCAGCCGCGGGCGCCGCCCACCCGCCTGAATCGCCGTCCACAGAGGCCGCTCCTGCGTCCGCGCCCCCAACAATCTGACCGCCACGGCCCTTCCAGGCCTGCCCACTGACCTCCGACACCGGGTCGACAGGTCCCGGGGCCGTACAAGAAACTGAGAAATGAGTCGACACCGCAACACACAGCAGCGCTGACGCCAAACCCCCGAGACTCCGACCCGGCTGAATTCCAGAGGTGATGGGAATCCGCTCACCCCAGCCCTGCCCAGTCCGACCCCGTCCCCTCACCTGGGCGAGCGCCGGGGCAGCCCGGAACCGCTCCGGCCTCTCTCCGAGGGACCCCACAGGCCTCGGGCAGCGGCAGCAGCGCCGAGCCGGACCCGGGCCGCGAAACTCTGCCCGCGCCACACCCTCCAAGCCCTCCACCCCGGCCGGCAGCCACAGGTGCGGCCCAGGGCCCGGGCCACTGACACCGAGGGGCGGAGAGGGATGGGAGGGGTCCCAGCTGGGGCCAGGCGTCCCTGCGGCTGCGTCAACTGGTAGCGTCTTGCGTCATGACGCCGGTACGCCAGCCTGGCCCCGCCCAGGAGTCTGCGGCGCCCGCCCCCGGCCCCTCCCCGCCCGTCCCGGGGCTGAGGGTGGAGTCTGGGCGGTGGGGCGGAGGTCAGGGGCGGGGTCGCGCGGAGCGAGTGTCCACGCCCGGCCTTCCCGACCCGCGAGCCGCGGGAACGCGCCCGCCCGCAGAGCGCGGACCGAGAGGAGAAGCTGACCGGTGCTAGGAAGCGAAATGAACCCTCTCGGAATAGAGAGCAGTGCTCTTCTGACCTTATCAATCCCGGGAGTTTGATTGTACGGAATGAAACTACGTTGAATCGACTGATTGTAGGACCGTGCTAATGAAAAGCGGTTTGATGCTCGCCATTTTTAAAGACCGAGACCCTCCATGTTACTTAACCGAGGCAAACGACTCTCTGGAGTTCGAGAATTCTCTCGGGTATATTGCGCACCTCTGGTGCACGTGGTGCACGAATCGTAGAGGAAAGTGGAAAGCAGCCTAGGTCGGTGGAAGCTTTGTGATTGCTTGAGACAGATGTGGAATATGCCCGTAGGGCCCCTAGAAATGCACCCGGAGAGGTGCCAGCGGCGGCAAGGGGTGGTTCTAAGCACTGTGTGTTTATTGATTCGCTGACTCCTCCCCAAACCCTGCGAGGTGAGTGCTACGTCCCCTCTGTCCCCATTTCCCATTAAAATCTAAGGTACACAGAGGTTAAATAACTCGGAAGGGTGGGGTTGAAACCCCAAGCAGGGTGCCTCCAAAGGTCATGCTCTTAAGCATTACTGTGTAGTGTAGACTGCCTCGAGTTCTAAATGGCTAAAACTCTAGTTGGGGGCAGCCCGGGTGGCTCAGCGGGTTAGCGCCGCCTTCGGCCCAGGGCGTGACCCTAGAGACCTAGAGACCGCGTCGGGCTCCGGGCTCCGTGCCTAGGGCCTGCTTCTCCCTCTGCCTGAGTCTCTGCCTCTCTCTCTCTCTCTTTCTCTCTCTCTCTCATGAATAAATAAAATCTTTAAAATAAAATAGGACTCTACGTCTGACTTCCTGAGTTGAACCTACCATATCTCCCGACTTTTTCAAGTGGGAATTTTACTCTTACCCTAAAAGCAATTGATGTGATATCAAAGGTAAAATAAAGCCAGAAAAGGTTAAACATATGACATACCATATTAGCCCTTACTGCGTATGAAGAAATAGAGGCCCTGGCCGAAGTGTTACGAAAAGACTGGATAAAAAAGCAAAAAGAAAAAAAACAAAACATACACCTATCTTAATTACTTCCCCCTTCTACCAGGACACTCCTATCACCCTCATTTGAATTACCTCTTTAGAGTTTATTTCCTCACTTCTGCAAGAAATCAATTTCAATGGTCTTTTTCAAAATCTGGAAGAATCGCAGTCTTTCTCCGTCTTTGTTCCTTAGTAGGGCACCAGGACCCCACATGAATTCAAGTTTGCCACAGCCAAGCTGCCAACTTGGAAACTGTCCCAGTACAAATACTCCAGAAATCTAGAAATTACCTCAACCCGGGGTCTCCAGGATCACACCCAGGGCTGAAGGCGGCCCTAAACCGCTGAGCCACCCGGGCTGCCCAAATTTAACCAAATTTAGCTGTTTTCTATTTACATGGATATTTTCACCATGAAAATGTCTTACAGTAAAATAAAATGAAATATCCTTTAAAAAACTAAACGTATACTAAAAAAAATTTTAAGAATTAAAAGGCACCAGCTAATGCCTAATGTGGATTAGTTCATTTAACTTGAGCAGGCCCATAATGTAAATACCAGTTGTGGTTGAGGAAGTTTAGAAAAGTTGAATAACTTGCTCAAGGTCACACAAGTTAGAAAATGGAACCAGAACTTGAAGTCAAGTGAGTCTAACTCCAACACCTATTATCTTTCACTACTCCATACTAGATCCAAGTTTAAAAAAAAAAAAAATTCTCAAATTGCAGAACTACAACACATAAAAAAGTAAAACCACAACTACTTTACAGATAACTTGAAAACAATGTTAAAACAGCATACTATCTGTATTTTAATGCATAAGGGAAGTTACTGCCACCAAATTCAATATGTTAAAGTTTTTTGAATGCTTAACTCAGGTTTTTATTTCTCTATCATCTAATAAATTCTTAAAATCGCAATATCTTTTTTTTAATTTTTTTTATTTATTTATGATAGGCACACAGAGAGAGAGAGAGAGAGGCAGAGACATAGGCAGAGGGAGAAGCAGGCTCCATGCACCGAGAGCCCGACGTGGGATTCGATCCCGGGTCTCCAGGATCGCGCCCTGAGCCAAAGGCAGGCGCTAAACCGCTGCGCCACCCAGGGATCCCCAAATCGCAATATCTTTATGTATAAACCTGAGTGTTCCTCAAGTTACTATATACTTTTTATAACACCAGGATACCAAGTTTAAAGTCCATTCTCATACCAAATCATCATCATCATCATCAGTAATATTAGTAAGCCCATATACACAACAAAAAAATCAATAGATTTCTATATTATTTCACAATATACCTGCCAAATGAAATTATTTTTCTTTTCACTTTCCACTAGCCAATGCAGGCCATAATTCAAACTTCTGTCATGCCATAAATATCATGGCATGTGTATAGGAAAATCACAATTATCCACTTTAAAGCTGATAAAAAGTGAGAACTGAATATGCATTTTGTACATCTTTTGATATACTAGAAAAACCTAGTTTTCCAATAATGATTTTGAACTTTGAAAATAACATAATGTCCTACAAACCAACAGTAAACAAACCACCAACCATGAGTAAAAGATATGAACAGACAGCTCACAAAAAAGAAATACAAATGGGCCTAAAGTAGGACAAAAGATGTTCTTAATTCTCATAAAAAAGAGAAAGGCCAGTTAAAGCTGCAGTTGAGCTAACCATTGCTTTTCTTTTCAAAGGACAAAGCTCAAAAAATTTGATAACTCAGTATTAGAAAAGACTTGGGGAGACAGCCCCCCACTTTGCTGGTGGGCATATGAATTGATTTAGCTTTAAAGGAGAGTAATACAGTAATATCATTTTAAAGCTGCCAATGCTCCTTTGTTTTGACCCAGCAATTCCACTTCTAGAAATGAATCATACAGATATCTTTACATGTGACTAAAATGTACAAGCTATCCATTGCTACGTTGTTCATAAAAATAAAAGAATGTTAACAATCCAATAAGGTTCAATTCAAAAGACTAGTTTAAAAATTATGGGACACCCATAGAGCTACAAAAAAATGTGGTAGCTATAAAAACACTGATAGAAGATAATCTACAATGTGTATTATAAAAAAGGTGAAGAGCAAAAAATACACATGTACCTGTGAAAAATAATAACAGGCCCAAACCTACAAATTTGGCTTTATAAACACACTGCTCAAAAGACTTAGTTGAACAGAAATTAAAATTTCTAGTCAATAGCACATAGTATAAAAACAACATTTATATGCGTGTATATATAATATCACTTTTAGGCATAGGTTATATATGAAAAAATGATGAAGAAAAACTGATATAGACTATCATTGGAAAGGGAAATTAACTAGATATCCTGGCCCAGGATAAGTTTGTAGAAAGATTTCTTTTTTACTGGATATATTGTTTTATAATATCTGAATTTTGTAATGAGTGCATATGGTACCTAGAGTAAAATAAAATATTTCAATGAAATATGACTCTCTTTTTTCTTTGGCTCTCCTATGAATTTTTGCTTTCTTCCTTCAAACCCAAGATGAATTTACACTTTTTATATTAGTTTGCTAAGGCTGCCATAACAAAATATCACAGAGTGGGTCGCTTAACCAACAGAAATTCACCTTCCAACAATTCTGGAGACTGGAAGTCCAAGATCAAGGTGTCAGCAAGTTGAGATCTTCGGAGACCTCTCTCTCCCCTTGGCTTGTAGATAGATGCCTTCTTACTGTGTCCTCACATGGTCCTTTCTCTGTGCAAGCATAACCCTGTTGGCTCTCAGAGTGTCAAGGACACCAGTCACATTATACCAGGGCCCAGCCCCATAACCTCATTTTAACTTAATCACCTCTGTAAAGTGCATATCTCCAAATATAGTCACATTCTGAGGTACTGCGGGGTTGTGGGGGAGGTTAGGGCTTCAATACATGAATTTTGAGGGGACATAATTCAGTCCATAACATTTGACAAACATGATCTTTTCCTAGAACTAGTCTCTTTTTCATTCTTCTACAGTTCTTTGAAATATACATTCCACATACCTTACTTTAAAACTCTTGTTGGGGCATCTGAGTGGTTCAGTCGGTCAAGTGTCCGCCTTCAGTTCAGGTCCTGATCTCCGGGTCCTGGGATCCAGCCCCACATTAGACTCCCTGCTGAGCAAGGCATCAGCTTCTCCCTCTGCCTCTGCCCCACCCTGCTTCCCCCTCCCCCAGCTCATGCTGTCTCTCTCTTTCAAATAAGTAAATAAATAAAGTCTTTAAGAAAAAAAAAAACTGCTTTTATTTTATATTTTATTCTTTTCATTTATTCTTCTAATTTTTAATTATAAAATTTAAAATTTTTTGTAAATTATCGTTTGATCTGGTGTGCGTTCCAGAAAAGACTGAAAGGTGGAGATTCTTTCCTTCATCCCCTACTATTGGTCAATCCCTCTCTTGGCATGTGTGCTGCTAGCCTAAGTGACAAGATCTTTTCTCTCTAATAAACTCTCTTTATTGCCTTTGTAGCTACAGTCTTTCTGCAATTCACTAATCATCTATCACTATATCTTTGTTCATCAGGTCACAATGTGAAAAAATTATTTCAAAGTCTTCTTTATTTTGATTTTTCATGTCTCTATTTTTCTTCTTAAGTCAAATATTTAATATCTATATGCCAGACACTGGACTAAGCCCTAGATATGCATACATAAGCAAGGTAGACATGGCCTCTGCCCTTGAGGAGCTTATAGTCAGTGGTAAAGTTAGAGAATAA